AGATGCACCCATCTGTCCTCTGCACGTCTAATAAGTTTAGAAAGAGGCCAGCAAGTACAGGACAAATGAAATCTGAAATGGTCCAGTTTTAGCCAAGGTCTGTGCATCAATACAGGTAGTCTCTATTGAGCAACTGCCTCATACGGCAACCATTTGCAGTTACAATGGTGAAAAATCAACTTTGCAACCAATCGTCATATTTACCACCTTTGCAGGTCTGCAAAGCAAAAGAAAGCCAAAGTAAAATCATTAGCACAGCTGTGGTTTCATTTAGCAACTGCTTCACTTAATGATTGAGTTGCCAGTCCCAGTTGTGGTCACTCAGTGAGAATCAGCTGCATTTCATTGTGCCTTGATGCAAACTGCTACCGCTATCACAGCCCTTTAGGGCTGGAGAAAGACGACTGCCAGTCTTACTCTAGCTACAAAGGTTCCCGTTTGGTCTTAGGCTAGTTTCTCCTCTCTGCTTAATACAGATAGTCCTCGATGTACAATCTTTTGCTTAGTGACCATTCGAGGTTATGACAGCATTGAAAAAAGTGACAACTGGTCTTCACATTTATAACTACTATAGTATAGTATTCCTTTGACCATAGAATTAAAATTCAGGCACTTTCTAACTGGCATGTATTTATGACAACTGCAGCACCCCAGGGTCATGTAATCAATATTTGAGACCTTCCCAGCTGGCTTCTGACAAGCAAATTCAATGGGGGAGGCTGAATTCACTTAAAGGCCACATGAGTCACTTAACAACCATGGCAAAAGAGATAATAAAATCAGGCACAACTCACTTAATAGCTGCCTTGTTTAACAATGGAATTTCTGGTCCCAATTGTGAACATTAGTTGAGGACTATTTGTATACAAAGGGCCAAAGGAGTGCTGCAAAGATAACATGGGAATAGAACCACGATTGCTACTTTGAGCTCCATGAAGTTCATTGACTTTCAATGACTTTCAGTCAGTGACTCCTGAAGCCTAATCAACTTTCCAGGTTAGTAATAGCAATTACACTGAAGGAGAAGTAGAATGGTTAATCTTAAAGAAAAACTTAATCCAGAAAGCATATAAATTATATTAAATAAACCAAAAAGAAACAAAATAGAAGCCGAGTAATCTTGTTATTTGTTTTGTATTGCAAATTGCCTTCAACCAACCCTAATAGGCATCACTATTTCCTTCTGATCCAGAAGTAATATACAGAATAATAGAATGCGATGGAATAGGAATAGGAATGGAATAGGAGTACAGTAGAATAGGGTAGAGTAGAAGAATTGGAAGCTTGCAGGTCTTCTAGTCCAACCCCACCCCCTCCTTAGGCAGGAAACCCTATACCATTTCAGAGAAATGGTTATGCAATGTCTTTTTAAAAACATCCAGTGTTGAAGCATTCACAACTTCTGGAGGCAATTTGTCAGCTTGAAATAGTTGTGCCATGATTCTCTTCATATACTTTAAGCAGTGAAATATGTCTTAAACTGCTGTAAGATTCAAGAGACCCGTTTTGCCCATCATACTCCATGTATCCCCAATTGCAAAAAAAAAAAAGTCTGAAAATTTGGATTGATTAATTTGAGGGAGGGTACTTTGGGCACCCAATATAGAGACCTGTGGAGACCATGCAGTTTGGAGTCACTTTTTTCCCAATCATCAGATGGTAGGATGGAAGGCCAGGATTAGCCTGAGATTCCTCTGAGGAAAGGCCTTTTCCAGTTCTTGCTTCTTTCCCGTGCTTCCTGCAGGGTGTAGAGACTAAGGGTAGAAAAGCAGAGAAAGTGGGTGGTAGTGAAAAGGGAACTGGGGGTGTGAGGGCTGGCACTGCCTGAGCTGTCTGGTTTGCTTTTGAACTTTCCATAATTAAGCCAACTTGTCTCCTCCGTTCTGGAGAGACATCTTTTCAAGTCACATAAAAACCACAGAGAGCGCAACAGGGTGAAGCTTATTAAGGATCATTTCGACCTGTATTTGGGCAAACGTGCCCTGGAAGCATCAACAAAAGGAGCTATCCAGTGGCAGCTGCAGTAATCTTGGGGGTGGGAGGGGGGAGAGAAGATATATCTGTCAGCCGCAAAGACCACCAAGTTATTCTCCAAAAGTCATTCAGCAACCCAACAGATGGCTAGGCCTCTCTGCTGCCACCAGGGGATTGAGGCTATAACAAAGTAATGAACAGCATGCAAATGAAGGGTGTTATGTGTGTGTGCCTGTTTTGTTTGTGTGTTTTTTTATGTGCGATGTATGTATGTGCGTGTATAAGTGAAGCCTTTTCCAATCATTCAGCAATCATCATTATGGCATTTTTTTTTCTTTCTGGCCAGAGCAGCTCTTTTTGAGAGAATCCAACCCATCTGTCAGAGATAGGGGTCTAATTCAACAGTAGCCATCATGCCAGCCCTGATCAAATGCCATATACAATCCAACATGTGGCATGCTATTTTCATTAAGCCCGTGTACTCTTCCCTGGGGAAAACTTCTCCAGAAAGCCAAAGAGCCATGCCAAAGATCACAGAAAGCTATCCACAAAAAGAAGAGGTTTTTTTTTTTCTCTACTTAAGAACATCCAATGAGCCTCCTCCAAATAGATCCCTTCCAGTTTTTTCAACAGTGTTGGCTGGGCAATGGGAGTTTCAATCACCTGTATTAAAAGAGCATTAAGAGTAAGAAAGGCTAATATACAATGGCTGGCAGCAATTTTAATGTTGTAGACAATGGCCTTATTGAAAATATCAGGAAGTAAATTTGGAAAATTTTGAAGTGTTTCACTAAATTATGATCCATCTCACCAACAATGGCCTCCTAGTGTGTTATTGGTACAGAAATATAGTGTGCCTGGGCACAAGGAAATTTTATTTTCTCTTAGCAGAGAAAAGGCAAAAATCCAGTACCACCACTACAAGCTATTATTAGGGAGGGAGTCTCTGCAATGTTTTTGAATCCAATATGTCCAAGTTGAGAAATAGGTAGTAGTCAGCCTTGGAGAAGAGGGCAGGCAGGTCAAAATACCATCTGCAACAGCCAAGCGTTGTCTGTTTTCCCACAGAACCTTTCCCCAACATATACTGGCACCAATATATAAATACACTTCACTATTCACCTTTCCAAATCCTCTCTACTAGAACAAAAGCAGCCTTTTGTAAATATGCAGACGAATCGGAGCTGAACCAAACAGCTTGCAGACATTTGGCAGCTTGGAGTAGAAATAGCAGCAAAACTCCATCTATTGGAGTCCATTGTCTCTTCCTCTCCTTCCCTCCCAGGTATTATAAGACCTCCTGCAAATCTGCTCATACAAAAACATAAGCCACAGCACTGACTTTCAGGAGTTACATTCATTCAGTTCAGAATCTGAGAGCTCTGTCTGTCTCTCTCACATAAAACCCATATTCAATTTACTAATGCCAACATGTTTCATATTTTCATAGAGAATGGCATCGGGATTTTAAGACACTACTTCCTTAGAGCAGCTTTAGGGGGCTCATAATGGCTGAAAGCTTTTCTGACCATCTGAAATCAGTGATATCACTTTTCAATAAGAAACATATCTGTCCTACCAAAGTACAAAATGTCTTAAGAGACTTCTAAAGCAGAGATGTAAAAAATAAAATTTCTGTCTCCACTAATTTCTGTGACAAGTTCCTGAATCTTTTGTCCTCAGCAAATGTGAAGTATAGCAAATGTGAAGAATAGCCCTCAGCTCAGTGGTGAAATTCAATTTTTTTTTACTACCGGTTCTGTGGGTGTGGCGTGGTGGGTGTGGCAGGGGAAGGATACTACAAAATCCCCATTCCCTCCCCACTCCAGGGGAAGGATATTGCAAAATCTCCATTCCCACCCCACACTGGGGCCAGCCAGAGGTGGTATTTGCCGGTTCTCCAAACTACAAATTTCTGCTACTGGTTCTCCAGAACCTGTCAGAACCTGCTGGATTTCACCCCTGCCTCAGCTATCAAAGGATTGCTCATTTCAAGGCCTACCCAAAATGTTTTGCTACCTGACCCCAGGACAAGAAGCCAACCTTTTCTATCCAACATGCAGAAACCAGGGGGGAGAGGAGGGTTATTGCAGACATTATCAAGGGATAATGTGTTTTGCAATATTGAATGAGAATCAGATATCCTGGAATGGCAGATTGGGCATTTTGGGTTTTTTTTACAAGCAGTATCACTTTCTGCAGTATTGTCCTCTTGAAAAGGCAGGGCTGATCTTCTAATGCTAGAGTGATCATAGATTTGGACAGAATGAACCCACTCTGAAATTATCTACAAGAGGTTAATTGCTGAGATCGAGCATCCGTGTGCAAATGTATAAACACACATGGGATATTCTGCAATTAATGGAGTTCTTAGTCTGGGTTCATAAATCATGCTAAACCATGAGTTGCTTAACTATAGTTTATTGATTCGGCCCTAATTAGCTGGGTTCACATTAAACACTACGAAAAAAAAGCATGATTTAAAAGCCACTATGAGCAATTGCATACAAGATCTAAATCTAAAGCTGAGTTATGCAAAATGCAACCCTCCAAATGTCATTGAGATCCAGCCCCTATCAACACTAATCAGGGGCTGACAGGGAGGCATAATTGGAGCTGTAATGCAGAAAATTCTACAGGCTCATAAATTGTCCAAATTAGAGATTCTTTTCTTTCTTAACCATAGTTTCTTCTTTCTTATCCCTATTTTCTGTAGCACACCCTTTTATTTCCTTTTTGATTGTTCTAATCAAGATATCACTTAGTTATGCATTCTCCCATCCTCGGGAATTAATGTAATTATTATTGTTTTTATGTGCCTTGGTGTATCTATAGGGCTTGCATAGTTTTAACAAGAGACTATTAGCAGGGTGGTTGTATATATAACGCAGAGGAAAAAGTTATGTACTCACTATTAAGCTTAATTTTCACACACACATACACACTGCCAAGGCAATTAGCTTAGCACTGAAGCCTTTGTTAGAAATTCCAAACATTTTTCTTTTGAAAATAAAAAGAAACAAAAGAAGATAACAGTATTTTCTATTTGTAGATTCATACAGACAAATGAAATAGGGTTGGCTTTTAAAGCATAAGGCAAAAGCTGAGGCATTTTCATAAAACAGCAACTCCCTCTGCTTGGTTCGTTGTTTTGCTTGTGAACAGACAAGCTGTTGTCTTTCATAAGGTGAGAACAAACTGCTGAAAGGGAAAAAAATAAAATAATCTCTCACAATAAAATGAGAAATATCTTGGCAGAATCTACCACCAATAATAATTTAAAGCCCAAGGGAGTTTGAGTGAAAGATCTCTTTAGTCAATAACGGTTGGTTCACTGTTAGGCTGATAGTTGGAAACAATCCACAAAGCTTCTGGGGTTTGAAGTTTGCTGTCCAAATTTATTGTTTGCCTCAAGGAGGCAATGGACAACTTTTTCATTTTACTGGCAAAGAGGAAACCAAAGGCCTCTGAGTTAAGAACTCATATGCATAGATATGGGTTTTATAAAAGTAGGCATGGGGTAGAGAAAGTGAGTCATTCCTTTTCTGCTTACCCCTCTCTCATCGCACTAGAACTCATTAGTGATAGAAATTGATGGGTGGTAGGTGCAAGACCGGAAAAGGAATTTAGCACAATCTAACATTCCTTTATGTAATTCACTGCCACTCAGGAAGATTAGATTGCTTTAAAATGATATTAGATTCGGCAGGAAAAAAAATTGTCAAAAGCCAAGTCTGACAGTCTTTTTAGAAAACCAACATTTTCTAGTCAATTCACTTCATAGATCAAGTTAACTGGAGGACAAAGGGAGAAGAATCTTGCTTTTGTGAATCTAATGGAGAAGCTTTTCAGTAGTGGGTACTTGAAGCACTAGCTCCACAAAACAATTGAACTTCACTTTTAGCCAGAGTTTTTAAATAAACTACAGGTAGTTGTTTGATCATGCTGATCCATATGCATGATGGTTGATTTCACACAAAATGTGAAATCCAGTGAAGTCCATACTGTTTATAGAAATACAACATGACTTAATATTAAGATAGAATATTATTGCATTATTACTATTTATTTCTTAATATTTATTTTTATTGCATTTATTATTGGACTGTGAACCACCAAGAGATGATTGCAAATGAGGCAGTATACAGTCTTATAAATAAAACAAAACAAATCACCATATTACTTAGCATAATATGCAAACCACAGAAACAGAATGCCAGATGAAATTAAACTGGTCCAGTCAAATGAGGACCTCCTTAAATGTGTGATTATTTCGTATAAAACAAATATGACGTTTCCTAAAAAAATATTTCATTTGGAATAGCCAGCTTAAAATAAGAGCATCTCTATTGGCCATAAGAACAAAAATCCATATTGTGGCAACATTTTTATGAGGACAACTCAAATGCATAATGTAATGAGTGAGTAAGAATGGGGAAGAAACTATGGTTGATACTCAAAGGAGTATCTGAGGCGGATCAAAAACTCAAAGTGGTAACCACAACTAAATCCACGAAGTACCTTCCTGTTCATATGTTGCTTCAATCCCAGTGTTTGGCCCATGACTGTATATTTTAATAAACTAATTTCCAGTCACACCTTTGCAACCATCTTGACTTTTTTTTTATTCCCTTGCAATGTCTAGCCTCTGTTGCAGTATCCTTCTATTTTCCTATTTCTGACTTGCCTATGCCTATATTTTAAATTTCCTTCTTTTAAAATGAAATGGCTTGATTTTGTTTGAGGCACTGCATGGAGGGAAATAGAATTCTAAAACTTTGGCTAGTCAATTGCTACAGAAATTCAGTTCTGAGCTAAGTCATCTTGGTTACTAGAGATATATGCAGGGATTTAAGGTTTAGAATATCTATAGTTACTCACCCCTTGTATATTGTAAGCTTTTTATATGCCAAATGACAATTTATATTTCCATGATATGCCTATGTGATTAACTTAGCCAGTGTTAATACTGGTACACTCTGCACAGCTCACTGGGGCTGAAATATATCACAAAACACAACCAAAATAGCCTGGCATATAAAAGTTTAGGCAGTAATACATGTTAGGCTCCAAAGTTCCATGGATACCAGTGTTTTCGCTAGACCTCCAAAAATACTACAGATCATAAATATAATTACATTCAAATTCTACTTCAAGACATTTTTCTTTAGCCAACAAAACTGCCATATATTTGTCAAAATAGGCTCTTTTTTTAAAAAAAACAGACTTTTAAAAAATAATTAGAATTGAAATTAAGATTCCATTTATATTCATATTTGTTTCTGAGCTGCCAAAGATCAAATCTGTGGACACCCACAGGGTTATTTTTGACAACACAAACTGAAATGTAATATAAAGATTTGTTGGATTCTAATTTGGTCCTGATTTTACAAAATGAAAACCTGAAATCTGAGTTCAGTATATTCTCTTGGGAAAACATACTTTAGGCAGAATTGGAAAAGATAAAAACTATTGTTACTGAATATCGTAGACTGGTTGGAAGAAATGTGCCCTGAGTTTCCCTAAAGAATCAAATAAATAGAAAGAACATTGCTTATTACCATCTTTGGACTTACAAGTGGCTTGTTTGTTTGTTAGGTAGGTAAATAAATAAATAAGGAGCTAATTTATGCTTTACATAAATAAGCCCTCCCTTTGTTGTGGGATTCAGCTCTCCCAACTGTTCATCTGGCTCACACCACTCCACGGTAGCACTAGCACGACACAAGCCATACACGGAGAACTGCAGTTTGGCTTTTGAAGGCAGACAGGAGGGGCATTGGTGGGAGGTTTATAAACAGTTAGCTGCAGCCCTGAACCTATCATTGCCAGATGGCTTCAGCTGTATCAATTACTGCTTATTTTTTAAAAAGGTACTGAATCCCATACTCCTAAGCTGATAAATGAAGCTTGAGGATAAGAAATACTACCACCAAATAATCATCCCTCTTCAAGATAACTTTGATTTAACCATTTTAAAGGGATTTTGCAATAACCAAAATTTTGCAGTGGGCTGCTAGACAATTTGCTTTGGCCATAAAGGCATATCTTTCATCATCCACAGATATACTACCCCCTTTTGATGAGGTTCCAAGGACAATGATGCTTAGATAAAATTTATTTTCACATGTGTATCAAAGGTAATGCTATAGCACTTTTTTTTTTTTTTTTAGTTTTAGGGTTGGGATGATCTCCAGATATTTGGACTGCAGCTCCATCACCCTTCAGGACCATAGCTATTCACTGAGTGTAATTAACACTGGGTCAGAAATTGCCAAAATATGCTTTTATTATTCACTTATTCTTGGATGTATAAGAATCTCCTTTCAAATATATTCTTGATGTTCTTGAACTTACTTATGGCTGGAACTACTACTTCAAGCATTGTTGCTTTGTTACATAACTTTCCAATATTTGGAAACCTGCCTGCTTGCCTATACTTCTCAAAAACTGACAATCTGAAAAATTGTGTCAAAATATATTCTCTTAATATTTAATTTGAACATAGAAAGCCAAAGAGCCTATGAACTACCAGAGAGGTGAGGTGACTGAATATAGTGAAGTGTTTGCACAGTTCTTCGGTCAGTGCAGCAATGCCACACACTATATACGAAAATTTCTCCCAAAGTACCTTCTCTTTTTAGAAACATCTCAAAGTAAAATTTTTATCAAATTAATTAAGCAATATTAACAAAGAAATTTTTTTATGTAACAGAAGCACAGAGGACACTGGGTTGCAGATCTATTAGAGTACATACATTATTCAAATAACTCAAATATCTTTTTTACTTGCTTTGTTGAACATGTCCTCCTTTCTCACTTAAATATTGATCTGGAGTTGTCCATGAACAGTTCCTAAGCAGCTCCCTGAAATATAAAGTTGCCCAGATGGATGTTCTCAGAACTACTGTACTGTACTCCAACTTTGGATGCACTTTTCTCCAAAAGCTCAAAGTAATGCCACTTCTGGAAATATATCTCAAGGGTGAGATATTTTGTGATTAGAGGTAATAAACAGTTTACAGAAATTAACTTGTTTCTGAATAATATATTAAAATATTAATTCTTTTGAGAACTAGGGATATGAAAGTTCTAATTTTGGCTGCATACCTTTTTATCCAGGTTTGTCATGAATTCTACTGAAATCATACCCTCTTCTGTAAGTCCCATTACTACATCTGTTTAAAGGAAAGGCTTAAATCCAAGGGCAGAATCAAAAAGTCAGGATGATTTCTGTTTGTTCAGCATGAATCTTTCACAATGGTACTTTTATCTCTAGAGAATAAAGGAAATGTTGGCCTCCTATGATCTCATGGAGAGAGAGAGAGATTAGGCTGAATTGACCTTATCCTTAAACCTTACATTATTGATACTATCTAACATGCTAGGTCAGCAGATGGGTGGTGCCACTCTTTCCCAATAGATTGATGAGGGATGAAAACCAACATGGGAAGGAAGGTACCAAGTTTGGGGAGCTTGCAGTCTACAGATGTAACACCTTAAATTCACTTTACCAGGAGTTAGTTTATCACTGCATGTTCCAAAGATCAAATCATCAAATGCCATCTTCCAGATGACCTTATCAACTTGCTGTTTTGGTATATTTATTTTGCTTTTGGCTATTTGTATAATCTTGGGTTGCTTTTTGACATTCTCCATGCCATTTAGGGAAGTTTGATTATGGATTGAATAGAAACGGAATATAAATAAATATATGGAATGTGATGTAAGTCCTATCTTTATATCACTTCCTTCCCCCTTGCAATAAAAGCATATCTTTGTATTTTAACACTTAAGACATAAAACATCTGCCAAAGGAGATAGTAATACAGTATACAACTACTACTCAAAATTTGCCCTTTTGCCATATGAAAATGCATCTTCTCCAGAATTGAGCCACAGGCCACACTAGATTCTTAGTGTCCCATGATCTGTTCATAGCTAAAATGAATAACCTTCAATCCTTAAACAACACAACTTTAAAAATGGCTTTAAAAGTGATTAAGCTTCTTGGAAAAGATCTAAATTTTAAATATATATACTGAGGTCTAGATGGTACAGATAGATTTGGTGCACTTTGGTCAACATTAAAGCTATTGTCAGTCTTGAGTGATTTTCTATTTCTTTCCTAATAACAGTTGTAGTATGAATAACAAATCCTAAGAACAATAGGGCATTCTATGTATGAAATAATATGTTATGCTATTGTTCTGATAATATGATGGCATAACTTTGGACAATTCTTTGCCTCCAATATCCTATTTTCTACTTTCTCTATTTTCTTTCATGTTTTGAGTATTGTTAATAAATGCCTTAAATCTGGAATATCTTTTAGAAAGACCAATTCAGTTTTTGCCATTTTGTTTGGGGTTTCATAGAACAGGTGTACTAAAGTCTCTACAATGTTTAAATTTTAATTGCACTCCTTAAATTTGGTGAACATCTCTTAATATTTAACCACAGCTAGAGTTCTAACAGTTGTGGGGGTGGGGGGGAAGCATTTGTAGAGAACAATGAATACCAGGTTCCCTTAATTTTACAGTAAGCAAAAAACAAGCAAGGTTTTCAAGTCCTTCTCTGTGGCTAATTTTTTCCACATACTTATGCCCCACAGACCACAGGTCCAAGGAAAATGGAGCATCTCAAAAGCCTTAACACTCTGAACTCAAGGGAATCTTCATCAGAAATATTCTTTTCGTATGTGCCACTTGGGTAGTAGATAGTTTCAGCTTATTTTTCTCTATGTTCCCTGAATATAGCTGGAATAAGCCGTTTAGATCGCAGAATCTCATTCTCTATCCAGCATCAGTAACAGATGGTGACCAGTCTCTGCTTGAAAATGAGTCCACCATCTCCTAACATAATTGGCTCTATTGTCAGACTGCTCTGATTGGACCTTTCTCCCTCTCCTGAGATCAATCATGCTTTTGTCTTCATTGTATATTATAATCTTAGCATCTAAAGTACAGCATTCATAAGAAACATTCTACTTCATAAGGAATATTCTACTAGATCGTTGTTTTGTTGTGATTGATTTGGGATTATTAATCAGGACACAGCTTTGTTGCTTATTCTGTTTACTAAAAATGTAGCTCTAAATGATGCCCCCTCCAATTCAGTGTTTGTTGCTACATGTATCTTCCCCTGGTACTTGCACAATGCACCCCATCAAGTCTTATTCCTGGTTAGAACACACAAAAGCATCTCATGCTGTGAATTAACAGAAAAGATAGAGTTCAGAACAGAACAAAGAATCAGCGTGAGAGCTAACATAGCAGCAGACTTATTTAAGCTTTGACTGCTTTACTTCCTAGTGTATTTTGTTAATTTTTTATGAATATGACAATTTTCTAAGTACGAGAAACAGTCATAATGGGATAGGACAAAAGGCTACTTGTATGGCCAGTTAGTCTACAGCAGAACTGAGAAAACCAATACATTAGTCTGGCTTGCAATTTGAGTGTTTTATGACACAGGGCATTTTTTTGGATATAGAAAAATAAGAAGCCTGGAAGCCTACAATTATTTTTTTTTACTTTCCTGATTTTATCATTTCAAGCTCTTTCTTTATAGACAACAAGCTACTACCAGAACAGAAATAAGTGGCATTAATGAATCAGTGGACATGTTTGGTAGAACAATTCCTCTTCCTGTTTTGAATTGTCATCAAATCCTTGCCTGAGATCCTAGCTTTTTCTGATTGACAAATGGACTTATGTTAAGAGAAACAAATATGGATTCAAAAGTATGTTTTTGGCTATTTTCTATACTAATTGTACTTCTATTATCCCAGGCTCCTATAACCTCTGTTAAATGAACCATCCATCACTCTCCCTGATTAAAATGTGTCTCTTTGCTTGAAGTCACAGAAATAAAATTTCCCTTCCTTGCTTGGAAGAAGTCTCCTAAACTACTGAGGATGTGCATTCTTGGTCTTCTTTCCTCTGGAAAGGCCACACAGGTCCCTGAAGAGGTTGCCTTTCTTGCCCCTGAGCCTATGGCTCCCCCAGGGAGGTGATTGCCAAAACCAGCCTCGCTTTCCAGTCAAATGCCTCCCTGAAGAGAAGGCAAGGCTGGTGATGTCAAAGTCCGTTTAACTTCTTGCAAGAATGTCTGCATCTTCCAAGTAGAAGCTGAGGCAAGAGACTCCCTGAGCAGTTATAGCTGCTCTTGCAAATCCAATGGGGATGAAATCTTTGTCAAGTAACAGCAAACCTTTTGGTAAACAACCCAGCTTCTTTTCTTGGAGTAATTACAGCAACTCTTTTATTCATACCTAGAGAAGCAGATGTGATGCATCGCTAACAAATCTTGCTTTCTTATTCAAAATGCTGTTTAAGCAGGGAAATTGGGTTTACTGGAATTTTGCTGAACACGAGTAGTGCAAGCCTAATGGACAAGGCTTCAAGCAAATTTAAGTTCTTAAAAATTGCTGTGATGCATAAAGTTTTCTTTCTTCTCCAAGGTCAAATGCAATGATTCCATGTTAATCTGCCTCTTAGAATGGAAGATCCATAGTTGTAGTCTAAAATATTAGCCAAAATGTAGAAGCCATTTTCTTCTAAAATGCAGAAGCCATTAACTATTCCTTAAAATGCTAAAAAGGGCAAATCTATTTAGAAAGATGCCAGTAAAAATAGTATTTTAGCTGTCTTCTAAAGTCAGTTTTTTTAAAGCATCTTTGCTGTGACTGTGTTGATCAGCCTGTCATACATGTGACAATTTCTTTAGGCATCTTTTTTTTTAATATTGTAAAAGGAAGTTGAAAATTCCCACCTGAGTCACCACCACATATGTGTCATTTCTGAATCAAATTTTTTGCTGAGAAAGAGTAAACAGTACAGAACTATGGATTTATATATGTGTGTGTGTTTTTAAGAAAAATCCCAGAACTCCTACAACACTGCAGGATAGATCAATATTATCCTCATCCAGTTCACAACAGGGATGATGGAAGGGCAAGAAAACAGTGCATTTCCATTGGAGGCAAGAATTTGCACAGGTTTCCAGAGTCTTAATCCACCTCTTTAACACTTGTCCACTAATAAGGATTATCATGTCACTCCTGTTTCCGGCATGGGCTAACAGTTCCATCCTAAGTTAAGTTCAAACTGCTTTTCTTTCTTGGTATTTTCTAACTCAAGACTCTCCTTTCTCTCTATACTTCTGCTTGTTAGTATATAGATCACTTGCTCATTAACTTCCTTTCTGGTTTGCTCTGCTTCATGATTAAGACTCCTCTGTTTTCACCTTCTGGAAAACTTCTGCCAGATATAGGATCATTAACTGGCACAGTTCTCTATTAAAACAGCTTAAAATTGAAACAGTTCTACCTGAAGGACTGTCCCATTTATCTGAACATAAAGGTGTCAGAACACTGGGCTCCACTTTTCACTAGAATTACCCCCTATTTCCATTTTATAAGGCAGCCACAGCTTCTCAAAAGAAATTGAAATTTTCTAAAAGCAAAGTCAAGGGAAGAGTGGAACCAAAACTTAAAACAAAGCCACTGGTAAAATAAAAGGGAGATAACATAATGCAAAGGAAAATTCAAAGGTTTGTACAAAATATCTTGAACGCAGGTTATTTGGGACCAAAAGGCTAATTAAAGAGTCTGGTGAAAGCAAAGCATGTCCACAAGCTATAAAAAGTTTAATCAGGTTGAAAAGGAAGACCTAAAAACTGAAGTTGGTGAGCGGAGACATCAAATAGGAAAAATAAATGAGGCCCTAAAAAAGGAGCAAATTTAAATTTCTGTTCAGGTCCTCCTCATCACTGTGCCAACTAGGTGGCAGTATCTAACTGTCTGAAAAGCTAGTAGATTAAATCTGGTCAGAATTTGTGTGGAAGACCTTCACAAAGCCAAAGTTTGTGTACCGAAAAAATCTTCCAGAAGCCATCTCTGTAACGAAGGGATATTTTTACCTTTACTTCATTGCTCTAGTGAGGCAAGGCAACATTAGGCAAAGGACTTTGAGGACATGTCCAAAAAAGTGCTGCATCAACTGCACTCCCATTGTCTAAAATGCAAATCTTATGCTTATCAATAGAGTAAATTATTATAATTAAATTGGGGAAGTGTTCCTCCATACCATATTACTTCTCTGCTTTTCTTTAGGGATTTTTTCTCAGGCTTAGAGATAAAATGAGGATCCCATAGGACAGACTCTATCCATCCCAAGTGGTATGCAGTATCTCTACTTGAGGTATCGATAGGCTGAGAGATTCAGATACTTATCTCTTGAGCCAATTTCCTTTGTAGAAAAGGAAAAAAAAAATACAAAAAAATACTGAAGAACTAATACCTGCCTTCATGAACCCAGAGAGAGCAACTCTCAGAGCAAGATCTTACCAAAGTATTAAACCAATACCTTAGCAGCTGTTGCTATCATCCCTGTGAAATATTTGCATCAATAAAACAGACACATAGAACTGTTTCTATGTGGAGAAAATGTGTTTTAAAAAAAGAAAAGAAAAGAAAACCCATGAAGACAAGACATAGCAACACACGGTACAAAATAGTAATTATACCCACCCACCCCCAAAAAAAACCTCAAAAGGAGAAAAAGAGCTTTACCACAATTTTGGAACATTTTACCTGTAACAGAAAATGAGCTTAAAATGAAACAGGACCAAATTTTCTACAAACCAGTAGATGAATACAAATACTCAGTTGTTTTTAGCAACTCAGAACAAAAATCTTTGACACGAGTATTCATGAACAATTAAATTTCTTTAAAAAAAAACAAAACAAAAAAGATTTGTATGTGGAGAAGGAATCAGGGGAGTTGAGAACTAAAAAAAAAATTAAGCAAGGAAAAAAAGGAGAGGAACAAAGCTCCCACAATATCTAAACAATTAACCATTGTTCTTGGATATCCCATTCCAAGTGAAGAGGAACCACAATAGTTCCTGAAAGCTGATAATGGCTGTCTCCATCCTACCCCTGTCTTCCAGAAAGTGTATCCTGGAGCAGTCCCTTTATCAGCATTTTTAAGAAGCTGTCATTTAGACAAGATTTATTCATCTGCTTCTTTCTTTTCCATCCCAATTCATGTACAAGACACAGTAATCATCTCATCATGGCTGGACAGTAAATGCAGAAATCTCAGTTGGGTCGGAAGGTCTGTCCTTGTTTCAAAAATCTTTCAACAGAAATTCCACTGATGCTTCCTTTCATGGGATTTGGTTTGCCATGGCCAACTCATTTCCCCCATTCCCCACAATTGATTTCCCAAACAAAGGAAAATGTCTTCTTTGCTCCAAGCATGCCAATTTCTTCTGTGCTATCAGATGAAGAAGTCTCTTGTTGGTTTTTTTCACTTTAAATTCCATTTAAGATTGTGGAATTGTATGCCTAGTCAATTTTTAAGTTCTTGACTCAGCCATTCAAAGGAAAACACACAGAAAATGCAGCAACAGAAGGTTGAACAATCCCTTTCCCAAAGCATATCCCTCCCCTGTTTGCCCCAAAGTTGACTTGGTACTGTTTTTTGTTTTGTTTAGAAGTCTGCATGTCCCAAAACACTCTTCCTCCCAACCCTCCCTGGCCCACCCAAAACAAAATAAAAAGCTCCACGGGTTGCATCATCTACCTGATGGTCAAGTTTGGAGAAGCAACTGCTTCTGTTGCTACTTCAAATTTTTTTAAGAAAAAAACAGACAGAGGGTTGTGCAGTGGGGGACCCAGCCTTAGGATTGCTTCAGTCGTTTGCGTGGGGGTCCCAGAAAGGGGCACTGTGCAGAGGCCAGTGAACGATATGCCTCTGCTACCAAATGAGGGTGAGACACTACCATCGACTTCCAGCCTGCAGTCTCCATGACATCAGAAGCATGGCTGAAAATAATAATTAAGAATTCAGGATTACCAGACTGAAAAATGTTAATGAAAATCAACTATATCTCAGCTAAATATTACCTAACTAAAAATGTCTCTCTTGACACAAGAAACTGTATTTTTCACTACGCACCGTTGGACATTATTCTTTAATAAAGATGTCTCTATTCCTGTACAACTATTTTGAGGCATATTTATTTATTTTTTTTGTTTATTTATTTATTTATTACATTTTTATGGCCATCCAACTCAAATATTTGAGACTCTGGCATACAATAAAACAAGATAAACCAAAAAGACAAATAATCCCACTTAAAAGGGATGAAGGAAAAATAGTATTACTGCTGCTGCCATCTTCCTTGGCAAAAACAGTTGAATAAAAATGTCCCTTTCCAAAAAGGAGCTTCCTCTATATGTGCAGTAAAGCTGTTGGATGATAAATCCTGAGAGCTGCAGCTCTAACACAACTGGACAGAACCATCTTGAGGAATGCTGTAGTAAGAATCTGTTTATTCAAGACAAGAACAAACATTCGAACAGCTGCTGGCTATTTGCCATCTCTCCAGAGTTGATGACAACATCTTTAGGGTAGGAACAAATCTTGACACAGAACTTTTAGCTACTCTTAGACACAATCCTTTCCCCTGGTATCCTGCAGAGGATCTTAATGCAGATTTCATCATCCCCAATCAACCTTGCTATGCTGAGAATAAGAATAAGATAATTCTAAGGTATCTCTAGGGTGCAGACTCTGGAAAGATATCCTAACTTTAAAAAAAAAGAAAAGGTTAATGTTTCCCCTGTCCAGTCGTGACCGACTCAAGGGGGCGGTGCTCATCTCCGATTCTCAGCCGAGGGAGCCTGCGTGGTCTGAGAGACGCTTCCGTCATCATGTGGCCTGCATGAAAGTACGGAACGCAGTAACCTTTCCCACCGAAGCGGTACCTATTTATCTACTCGCATTTGCATGCTTTCGAACTGCTAGGTTGGCAGGAGCTGATGTGAGTAATGGGAGCTCACCCCATTGCATGGTGCTCAGGTCTTAAATCCAGGCTATCAGCTTTCCAGCTGACAAGCCAAGCGTCACAATCACTGAGCCATTACTCTGCCCATCCTAACTTAAGTAAAATGCCAAACTTTGCTTTGAAGATTGTCTTTGCTAGATTTAACTCACTAGAGTCAAAAAAGAAAGCCCACTTACTAGTTTATGAAGTCAACTGCCTGAGTTTTTAGCTGGTCAGCACTGTGTAGATCAGCCAGAATTAGGATCTCTGCTGCGTTCTCCACTGACAAATTGCTGCACAAAGCATCTTCACACATCACTTTCAAACGTTCCAAAGCATACTGCAAAAGATACCCCCAAAAATGGACTGTTTAAACATGCATGCCAAGTTTTTCATAACTTTCTGGCAACATGAAACAGCATCAGAATCTAGGCCACAAAGCATAGTGACTTGGATAATCATGCTTACAATATAACTAGTGTAAATATATGTGGATTTAAATGGGGCTTCAGTAAACATCCATTTGGAGCTAATCCACTACCAAATTATATAATAGGAATCTCTAACAACACATCACAATCATACATCGATGCTGGGTATCAGTCATGTTGCTCATAAAATGTTTATGTTGCTCATAAAAATGAGAAACCCTATTTCTTAAAACAAATGTCAACAAATTAAAACAGAAACAGTGCTATACTTCCTCCTTCACATTGCTGTGCTTCTTTTTAGCCACAAAATATTCAAATTAGGGCCAACCCTCAATCCCAGATCTAGAATTTAAAAAAATACACTGATTAATTAGCAGAAATTATTTTCTGGGCTGAACTGAGCATAGAGGATATGCATGCTTGCATGTGAACTTATATTAGTTCTTTAGGTACCACAGCATCTCAGGATCCCTTCCCATCCTCCTCATAAACATTGGAAAGACAAAAATGAACTCTCTAATCACATCTTCACCCAAGAGCCCAATGGCAGATCTCTGGGGTTTCAAATAGGCATTGCGTTTTGTTTATAGAATAATTACGTATTTTTCCCAAGAGACTGGAGGAAGACAGAACAAACTGTTCCATAACCTCTTGGGCAAGTATTAAGAGGTTTTATGTGCTGCCATAAAAGGTTTTGCTTTCTGTTTTCAAAACGACACCCAGAGATGTTTAGAAAAAAGAACTATATAAAAAGTCACAAAACCTCTTCAACAATTAAAGCCCCATTCAGTACCACCACTCTACTCGCGTTAGTGTTGCTGCAGCTAAGTGGGTGTTAAAGATATTTATTACTGAACCATACTGGAAAACCAAGGTAGGCTTCTGCTGTGCAAGTATAAATGAATGAATGGTGGAAAAATATGTAGAAGACAGGGAATATTTCAATTTTTAAGGGATCCAGTTTTTTTACTTAAAAATGTTAACACCTCAACTGCCATATTCTATCTAAAATTCATATGTGCTTTCTTCTCTTAAAATATGACTTGGATCTCCAGAGGGTTTTTTTTTTCTGTTTACTGGATAATACACAAATAATTCATGTTTTTGGTACCCATCCTTCTCAGCTAAATCTCTGCTTCTAGCTCCATACCTGCAGCCTGGCTACTTCCTGGTGTGCTGGGATACAATTAAGTATACAAGTTGGAAATTCAGGGAGAATATTAGATTGGAGGCAGATGGCCAACGTGGAGTTTGATTGGAACAATTTTAAATTATTCACTGAAGTATGTACAAAGAAAGAGAAACATAACTTGGTTTCACTAATATCCACCAATTTAATCTTAACAGCAGAATATTATGCAATGTGAAACAATGGTTAAATGGTTGCAGACCAGCACAGATGATTTGGGGGTTAGAACCAGAAATTTTTCATGTTTTTTTTAATCCTGACTGGTCTCCTCTGCCTATGCTGTCTTCTCTGACAATAGATTTATGGGTTTGCTACATTCTACTTCAATAGGACTCAGCTTGTAATGTTGGGGTTCCAAAAGATAAAAACTTAAGACATGCCTACTCAAGAATGTGAGTAGAGTTAAACAAGAGTTAAGATTGGTAATATAGAAATACCCCAAATACATTGACATCATGATCTCTATTCTAGCCTCTCCCAATTTTTGTTTTTCTACAAGATAACAGCTAACTTTCCCTTTTACCTTGTCAGCAGCTGCAAGCAGATCGTCAGCCATTTTGTCAAGATTAGGTGCCTTCCCAGTATAAATGAAGCACATCATTTCTTTAAAAACTTCAGGTTCCACATCATTGATTTCAACTCGATTCTGTACCAGAGAGGAGGGGAAGATTATTTTTCTGAGGCAAGAGAAACCTTTCCTAGCCTAAATCTCTCTTTCAGCAAGAAACTCTCTGTATGGAGGGGTGCAAACCTGTGTATTTGTATTTATATTGCTGCTTATCTCATTTAGTGACTCTGGGCATCTCCAAACCTCTTAGGCTGATGGCTGCACCTGACTTCAGGTGAATGGCAAGGATTGCCCTTCAAAAAGATAAGTTAAGGTTAAGAAAACAGATTAAATATGATTTTTGTATCTTATTACAAAATAGTCAAAATAACTATTGAGTTTAAAATATTTATTACTTTTCTCATTATATCACTGAAAAAAATTAATTTGATGGCAAATTTTGGAATGTTCTATGTGCCAGACCGAAGGTTTAAAGGAGTCTGCTGTAAACTATATGTAAACATAGGTTAAGAATGATGTATCCCTTATAGCTCTATAAGAAGATAAACTACAACTTCTTCCTTAGCCTGCTTTTTCCACCAAGTCTACCTGTAATAAAAGAAATCACTAGCAATGGACATTATAGAATCATTCTAAGCAGAAGAGCAGCTTTTTTCTCAAAGTCACTTTGGAAAGAGAGATGAGCGGCATACAAATTTAATAAATAAGTAAACAAAATAAATACATTTCCAATGTGTTATTTTATTTAGTTGCTATTTTAAAGAATTATTTACATTTTTTCCTTTCTCAATTTCCTCAAGAGTTTATACCATAAATTATAATATGCTTATCTCTACCATATCTTATATATAACAAGTAAAGTGAAATGTTTATATATTTATTTGGACCCCGACTCTATTCATTTTCACTGAGACTACAATCTCAGATTAGCACCCAGTGCTTCAGATCTAACTGCTGAAAATAAAAAACTTAAAATCAGTTGCCCAAGAACACTGACAGTTTGTTTTCTTGGGCAATGATGGATCTCTTGTCAACCCACTATAGAAAACTAACTATCCAAGTTGCAATCTAGATTCATATCTCTCTGTTCCCAGAGCAAAATGTCTTGTCAACCTTGACACATTAACAAGACTATATTTCATTGCGCCTCTCTTGTCTGAGCGGGACCTTTGTGGGCTGAGGTCAAAAGTCTGCAATACTTTTCAGTTATTAGCTAAGGTTTGCCTCCACAATATCTTCCTTCTGGGCAGCTCTTCTTTGTGGCTTACCTTTTTACTCTCTTCCATCTCATGTTCAAACATTGCACTGAAAACTGGAGAACGGGCTGTGTGCATGGTGGATTGGCATAAGGAAAAATGGGGAAAAAAAAACCTTTTTAAAAATGTGAAACAGATACTCTTTCTTTTTTTCTTTCTTTCTTTCTAGAGAGTAACTGATATATACCATCAGTACTTGCAAATTTAAGTAATGTATAAAATGGACAGGTAAAAAATAAATTGTATGCTCGCAAAAGAATCAAATCAAAATTTCTGCCCAAGGGAATATGCATATGCTTTCCCAGCAATTTATTCCCACCTATGCAATGAGACAAAGAGAAGCTCTGGAATGCAACTAATTCAATTTTCAGGTTTCCTCAATTCCATTTCTTCTTACTACAATGTTAGAGGTCCTTTGCCATGGCTTTTGTGTTGTGTGCTTATCACCACAGAATATAAAGGCTTTCTGTGATCTGTACTAAATTAAGAAATCATCAAACACAATAAACATCCATCTGTGGAATTTCAGAAGAATTTTAAATACAGAATTTAAAATAGTTATGGCCTGTCCATAAAACTGAAGTGCATGTGTGATCTCATGATCAAAATTTGAGTGGTTGGCAGCCTGCCTACACTTATGACTATAGGGGCCCTTCAAGTCCTACCACCTACTTCCATCCCATCTGTGGCCCCAGCAATCCTGCACTCTGCCACCCTCAGCTGAACTTTGCTGACTTCTTGCTCTTGCTGCTGACCAAGCATGCCTGGCCTGACCTTTTGCGAAGCAAATATTGGATATGTGAGGCCTTCATCTTGTGCTCACAAATAGTAGTTTCTTCACGAGTCCTATTTTTTCTTCTGTTCAATTATATCCAATTCTCAGAGACTGTTGGACAAGCCCCTGCAGTTTTCTTGGCAAGGTTTTTCACAAGTGGTTTGCCATTGCTTCCTACTTAGGGTTGAAAGAAAGTGACTGGCCCAAGCTCACCCAGCTGCCTTTCTGCCCAAGGTGGGACTAGAACTCACAGTCTCATGGTTTCTAGCCTGATGCCTTAACCACTATAACAAATTGTAGTCAATACCAACCTGCTAATATGGCTTTGTGAGCTTGAAACTCTTGGCCTGCAACACACAGGGAGCAGTCTGTGAAGCGAGAGTTTTCCCACAGACCTCCCAACTCATCAGCCAAGCGGCATTCAGGTACCTTCACCATGTTCATGGAATTCTGGCCGGAGATATTGACAGAGTCTTGTACTACACTCACCTGAAAGGAAGCATAGAAGAACATGCCCTTTGTAAACATACAAGTAATAGCATTAAAAATATAGAAGAACTGAACCAAAAAAACCCCCTATCAACAACAAATTCCAGAGCGATACAGACCTTATTGTAAGAGAACCCAGCATCACACAGGAAAAATTTGAGCTTTCCTACCCCACTCTCCAAACCACACTGAAATGAAGACAGATTATCAACCACTTCAAGACAGTATATGAAATAAATCTACACATTTATACAACTTTGGGAAAAATTCAGAGAAAGCACAGAAAACCTATTTTACAGGTTTTACAACAATGTATTCAGTTTGCTATAACCCCTCTACGCCTCTCCAACAGAAGATCTATCAAGTTTTCTATACCCCACCCCCAAATGGTCACTTAATCAATAGGGGATTGGTTCACATAATGTACTAAGTTAGGTAAAATGGGTTCATGTAATTTATGGTTCAGGTTCTATTTGTATGAAGAAGACTTTCAATTTAAGCCATAATATAGTCTGTATGAGCAGAGCATATGGAGAATATAGCAATTTATACTGAAATCCTGGATTTAGAATGTTGTATGACTCTAAATAGTAAACGATCATGTGTGCAGATAAATGAAAATTCAATTTTATGCTAGTTTGGGCCAAATCTCCCAAATGATTGATCAGATGTGGATGTGCATATCTTAAAATTTTTCTCTATTAGGCAGCAAGTTAATACTATAACAGCAGGCTGTGTTTATTACTAGTCACATGCCTTTCTGAGCTGGCGTACCATCTGATGATCCCCAAGAAAGAACAAAACCCAGGCTCCAGTAATGGAACACAGATTCACAAATTAAAAGCTAATTCATTTTTTAATATACAGAGGAAAAAAATGCTATCTCTAATCAAATCAAAAATCCATCTAGTCTGGCAGATTATGTTGTAGAATGCTTGATCTGTAGGAAGAACAAACTCAAAGCTAGGGGGAAAAAAATCTGTTTTCCAACTGCCACTTCTCAGCCCAAAGTGTTTAGAACATATGAAAAAGAAAGTGCCATTGTGACTGTTAGCTGTCTTATATTTTTTTGAGCCTCAAAATAAGTGCTTGGCCTTATTTTCGGGAAGGTCTTATTATTTTGGGGCATGTGGAGCAAGAGGAGCTCCTCTTGCCGTCTTACCTGATTTCCAGCTCTGTCTCCCTAACCCTAACCAGAGGAAATGGAGGGGACCAGCTGCTAATGCAATTAAATATTTTGGGGGAGAGGCTTATTTTGGGGGAGGGGCTTATTTTAGCAGATGCGCTCAAAAGCCCGATTGGGCTTATTATCAGGAGATATCTTATTTTCGGGGAAACACTATATGAAGAAATCTGAAATCAATCTGATATATGGTTCTTTTACAAAAGTATACCCAAGAAGCGGTTGTTGAAAGTTATTGAAAAAGGTCCCCCCTAGGCAACTGCAACTGGGACCAGAATTTCTCTAAGTAATGCAGTTCTAAAGTGCAAATCACATGAATGCATTGCTTAACGAAGGCAATCCCAACAGTCCCTTATTATTTTAATTAAAATGGTTAGGCCAACTTCAAGTTATCTCCATGATTTTAGAACCACATCCACATAGTTTTCTAACAGCAATGTGGAAATGGCTTGTCACTGTATTTTTCCAGGATACTCTATCATTTCCTTAGACTGGCATCCCCTGAATGAGTCCCCTTCAGTGCAAATCAGATCTGACCATCAGTTTCTGATGTCAGCTTTTTTTTTCTTTACTGGTTGAAGTTGGGGAAATGTAATTATTAGAGAGAGTATTAATGGAGCGATTTATATTTATTTAGCGTGGCTGCTTAGTCTTTCTTGTGTAAACTAGGAGTGGGATGGTTTGTTAGAATGCTTTTAGAAATCAATGAAAAAGTTTTGAGTTGGAAAAAAAAAGTCTTACTCAGTGTAGAACATTCTTCTCCATCTTGATAAACTGTAGATATACTACTAATCTGATATCTAATTCTGAGGCAACATGATAGTGCCCTTGTTACCTTGGAAATTTTGGAAGATGCTATCCCACATATTTGGAAAAGGCTACAATAAAGTATTATATAAATACTTTTGCTTGTTTTAAAGTAAACTTGTGCTTTAGAGTACAATATACTTATTTACTGCATAATTTACTTACATGACATGTGGAAACCTTCACAGAAAATGTATTTTTAAAGTTTTTTAAATTATATATTTCAATTTCTCAATATCTCAATTTCAATTTCAATATCTCAAAATACTCTGTGAGTACCACAGTGGTGTAACTATCTTAAATGTTTTTATTTTCACATAAATCTACACAAAATCCAGCACTGAGAGGATGATGATTCCAAATAAAAAGTTTATATGTATTCAAACTTCTATCATCAAAATCCATGGAATTTAAAAGTCTGTGATTTTGGTTGGATTGCATCCAGTAGTCTCTGCAGTCTATATGACTCTGCAGTCATATTGCAGCAGTCCCTACTACTTATTAAATGAGATACAAAAATTCTGATTCCTTCCTCTTTGACATGGTAATCCCATCCCTCTGCATGCACAAGGGATCCAGATAGTAAAACTGAAATGTCAAGCAAATGCAGACGAAATAGCCTTCCACAATCAGGCAGGAGGTTGAGCCAGTGGACAACCTATCATGTCAGCCACAGAAGTTTAATAAGGTGGCAAATCTTTTCCCAGCAAGAAATAGTTTAAAGGAAACAGGGGCATTTATATAGTTATTACTTCACCAACTCATTGAGTCTTCAGAGCAAGTTAGCAGAGCAGCAACCAAAACAAAAACATATTTCCCCTAAACAGCTTCGGGATCCTCCAATTGGAAGGAATAAGCTGAGTGTATGCCTACTTACGTGTCCAAAACCACTTTAGGAGCAATGGTCAGTCAATGCAAGTTTTTTCTGTCTGTGAATCAAGTCTATATTTCTAAACTGTCAAAAAATGCTTAAGACAAGGGTTTAGCTTTTTTATATTTGAACACTACTCAAAGCTGTAACAGGTACAAAATACAGCAACAGCAAGCTAGTGGATAAAACTACCATGCTGTATCATGTCAGTTTTTTAAGGGATGATTTGGTTACCAATAGATTTCAAAATTCAAATTCCAAATGCTGGTTACAATCTGTAAACCCCATAATGTTGTGGCACCTAGGTATTTCAAGAATCAATTCATCCAGAAGAATTGATCCATCCAAACCTTCAGCCACAAGGGAGATATTTGAAATTCCACCCCACAGAGGCCAACTTTATGATGAACAAGTTAAATTTATGATAGGAGCTGAGACAACAAAACTATTTTTATGAATATCTTCCCAAATGAAACTATGAAGTTCTATATCTTTCCTTACCTCACAGAAGAGAGTGAGCTTGTCATCTGGAAGGAGCCCATTTGCCTCATCTAGAAGAAAATCTCTTCTAATAAACTTCTTGAATCCCCAGTCTTTGCCTTGCACAAACCGATAGGCTCTCTGACTCTCTGGCAATATACAAAGAGGTTGGCAATTTAAAAAAAATAGAATAAAGAGAAAGAAATTTGAAGACACACCAAACAGAAGTCTTTATTTTCTGCTCTGTTTGTGTATGAGTAAAATATAAGTACCCAGTTACTGGCTATGCATACCCATTGCTTTTGTTTCTTCTCCTTTTGCATTCAAAATAGAGAACTTGAATTTGGCTCGGACTTCACTCTTTGGACAACTGACCAGTAACAGATAGAGTGAAAGATAATCTTTACTTTCTTCATCCAAGCCCTTTGGGTTCACACGCAAACACCTGCAAAAGCAGAAAAATCATGTTCATTCTCTCTATATAAATGATTCAACTACAGTGAAACAATTTCTATCTACAGATTTTCTTTTCAAAATCTGTATCATGAATTACAAAGTCTGTTTTATTATGCTTATTACAATTTAGTCTGCATTTACTACAGACTATTAAACAATGAAATTTTGATTTCTTGCAGTTGATCATAGGAAATTGCTAAGCCACACTTACAAATGATTAAGTAAAATTCAAAAGTAAATGCAGCATTTTCTTTCCTCAACTGTTTCAAAACCAACTTTATCAATCCAGTTTGTTACTGTCGTATTTTTACAAGTGACAGTTCTGAAAGGTAACATTAGTAAATTCAGCAACGGCTGTAAATGAATATGAAGCTAAAGTATAACTTTAAAACAAGCTTTGAGAATCATGTAACAATAAATGAGTCTTCTGCTGTTTCCTATCTGGCATTTAACTGGTCCTTACCATTTCAATTTATCATTAGCTCCTGATGAAAATGTTGAACTTTTGATGACCTCACCCATTTCCTCCCGACAAAAGCTGAAATTATTGATGGTCCACATGTAGGAAAATTTGACCACTTTAATCTTTAAAAAGAATGGAAGAGAAAGGAAGTATTGGTTAGAAATTTACATACATTGTTACAAAGAACAAGATCACCAAAAAGAACCCCATTATTTCAGAATGAAGGAAAAATAAATTTGAAACTCTTGAAATATAAATACCTCTTCAAGAAACTATAATCTGTTGTTTATCAAAGGCTTTCTACAATATTTCTAATCTTGTCCCTCTCTATCAGAAATCTGGAGGAAAATTTACAGGGTTATTAAGTTAGTATATTTGGCCTGCATCAATTTATGTGGAAAAGGCAGGAGCATGTCTGCTTTGAGAAAAGATTTGCTGCTACTGAATTCTTTTGCAGTAGCCCTTTTTAATGACCTGTTATTTAGTGACTGTTCAAATTTATGACACTCCTTATAGTTGCAGCCAACACAGAGTCCCCATGGGCACTTGACTGCAATTCAGGTACCTAGTAACCAGTTTGCAATTATGACAGTCACAGTATCCCGAAGTCACATGATCACCAATTGCAATCTTCATGACCGGCTTCCAACAAGGACTAGTTTGTCCCATTTCTATGGAACACTGATGCCATGTGGGTTTTACCTAATGGCAGAAATTGGGACTGCCATCATGGTCGATGGGATCAGATGTTGATGCATTTTATGATCACATGTCTTAACAAAATTCCCAGTCCCTATTATTGTCAGTAAGCAAGGACTACCTGTACTTGCATTCATGAGGAATACAATTTGATGCGTTTCATGTATTTTGAGTCCAGAACAGAATAGGAAAAGCTTCCGTTCTGCCTGTCCCTTCACAACCTTTTGTTTAACTCTGTCTTAAACTTGTATTAAGAGGAGTTCTGATTACAATTATTATTAATACATACAAAAAGAATTACAGCATAACAATTGCTAACATAACTACAGGTAGTCCTCAACTTATGACAACAATTGAGCCCAAAATTTCTATTGTTAGGTGAGACAGTTGTTAAGTGAGTCTGTCCCATTTTATGACCTTTCTTGACAGTTGTTAAATGAATCACTGCAGTTGTTAAATTAGTAGCATGGTTGTTAAATGAAACTCGTTTCCCCATGACTTTGCTTATCAGATCACAAAAGGTGATCACATGACTCCGGGACACTGCAACCATCATAAATATGAGTCAGTTGTCAAATATTTGAATTTTGATGGTGTAACTATGAGGATGCTGCAACAGTCGTAAGTGTGAAAAATGGTAATAAGGCATTTTTGAGTGCTGTAATAACTTTGAATGGTCATTAAATGAACTGTTGTAAATCAAAGACTACCTTGTATGTATTTTTAATGCTAGGCATAGTAAATACAGTAAATGTCAATGCTAAGAGGAAATATAAAAAGCAAACTAGAATATTACACAAATGTACTTTATACTGAAACAGGAGAGGTTCAGTATAAAGTACATTTGTGTAATATTCTAGTTATAAGGCCCTCAAAAGTATCAAAGATGGGCATAAAATGTTATTAATCTGATCCCCGTTTGATTTTATTGAGTGGATGTCTAAGCTATTCTAAACCTAATATTGTTGGGAAAGCAACAACAACAAAAATTGGTTTCATGCTCTACAAGTCTGTTTTTTTGTGAATTTCCAACAATCTTCATGGCATTATATATGCCAGAGATTCTTTGAATTAGGAGCATCACCAAAACCTAACATAGCTTTTAGATGACCACAATGGTTACCATCTATCCCTGAGAAGTCTGGCAAGAACAATTTATGAATTTCGGAGTTTAATTGTAATTCAGACATAATTGTAATTTGATAAATATTGCAATTTATCAAGTTATTTTGAAATTATGTCACTCTGAAAAACACTTGCTTGAATCCAATTCAAAGAGAGGAAAATAAATGCCAGCTGATCTAAAGTCACTATTGATATTCCAAAGTGCAGGCATACTTGAGTATAACACCAGCTCTCTGCAACAGGTCCGCTTGACATCTCTGCCGGAGGAGGAGGACTCGGTACCCTTGACATCGCCAGCTTGGAGAGCAGATAGGATTTCACAGGTTAAAGAAATATGCGTATGTAATCTTCACCCTGATTGCACAGGAAGTGGGAGGAGGACAGAAAGAGTTTAAATATGTAGCAATTTCTGTTTATTTTTGTTTACACAGCAAGATACCAAACTTAGTTTATGGTGTTTCAGTTAAGCAATACCTAATCACCTCCTTCTTGCTGTGTTTTTGTATGAAATGTACAGTTCATTCTATACATGCCTTGCCAAATTGTTACACTTAATGAAATACCATCAAAATCTGGTTGGCTGTTCCTCAGGCTTGGGGTATTTTGCAATTTCCAAGTCCCTAAGATTTTCCTCTACTTATTTCTTATTTCTATGCCATATTTACTATCCTCATTTAAAGAAAAAACAGAGTTTTTGTCCAAATAATACCATTAGAACTGAGGGCCAGGAAGTCAACTGCTAATTGCCAAAACTGAGATAGAGACTATTTAAAGGAGTGTCACTCTCACTTGAGAATGATGGATATAGTAAAATGAATGTGGAATTGGTAGTGACCATGGATGGAGTGCTTCGTCCACCCTTGGTCACTACTACCAATGTCTTTCTCAATTCTTCACAAATGATGGTGACTTTTCTCCCCTTCAGTTATCAATTTCCTTATCCTTCCATTATCAAATTCCCAACCCTCCATTACCACATTTAGAATTATCTTCCTTTGTTGCAGGTACTTCCATGATGTAAATCCATGATAGGACGGAAAACTTAGCAGTATTTACTGTGACACATTAGAGGTCAGAGTGACTTGGCCTTAAAAATGAGGTGATAAGAGATTCAGCAAGATTGCACAATGTAATTCATTAACTGAACATAGAACACAGAATAATTGGAGGTCTTCCAGTCCAACCCCCTGCTCTTGCAGGAGACCCTGCTCCAGTGATGAAGCATCCACAACTTCTAGAAGTAAGCAATTTTACTGATTAATTGTTCTCATTGTCAGAAAATTTCTCTTTAGTTTTAAATTGGATCTCTCTTTAATACTCTTCTATCCGTTACTTCTTGTCTTGCCCTCAGGTGCATTGGGAAATAGATTATTAGCCCCCTCTTCCCTGTAGCAGGCTCTCAAATATTGGAAGACTGCTATCATATCAACCCTAGTTTTTCTCTTCGTTAGACTGGACATACCTAATTCCCTCAATCGTTCATTATATAGTTTAGCCTCCAGATTCCTTATCATCTCTGTTACACATCTCTGTACTTTTTCTAGGGGCCCAGCCTCTTTTTTAAAGAAGAAAATAATTTGAAAAGAAAAAATAATATGAATAAAATGAGTTTGGGAGCACATAAATGTTGGGTAGAAGGCTACTCTTCCTATGGATATATGACCGCATGTAATAACTTTATAATGTTCCTATTTTTTCAATATATGTTGGTATTTCCTATGATCAAGCAGTCATCAGAAAGCAGCTTAAAAAGCAGACATCAATAGCAGCTTAATAATATTCAATATATACTGAAAACAAAATGAAGTTGACTTGAGCATATGGGATATAATCATATAGTACTACAGTGATCATTGAAACTTTGGCCCGCACCCTAGCTTATACTGGTTATCACAGTTAGAGGCATTCAGAAATAACTGTTCGTTGAACTTTCTTGTGTGCCAAAGCAAAAAAAAAAAAAATCTGTTATAAAACCTAAAATTGTTACCATTACCATAATTATTCAATATCAACATAACCCATAGCTAAACAAAATGAAATAATTTGGTTTCGTAAATCAGAGCTGGGTGACATTTGAGGCCAATAACCTCACTGCTGCTGTTGCCAAAAGGGCCAATGCAGCCCTAGGCTGCATCAACAGAGGGAAAGTTTCACAATCACGTGAAGTAATAGTACCACTTTATATTGCACTGATGAGACCACATTTGGAATACTTGTTTTAAAAAAACCTGCTCTCTTATCTACTCTCAGGTGATATTACTGTATCATTTCCAGGTAAGGTTCTTGGCCTCAAATGTCATCCAGCTCTGATTTACGAAACCAAATTATTTCATTCAGCCATGGATTATGTCAATATTGAGTAATATGGTAATGGTAACAATTTTAGATTTACTTCATCATGTAACATCTAGCACACAAAAACACTTCCAGTTATTGCTGAATACGTCTGACAAAAATAACCACTGTGAGCTAGTGTGTGGACAAAGATTTTTTTTAAAAGGTTTCAAGAGTTTATGGGGACCAGGGGGAGTTAATACAATAGTTGCATAAAGCCAACTAGAGGCCAAACACCTATACAATAACCCATTTTTAAAAAGTGGAAATTCACATCTCAGTAAAGTATAACCCATTGTCTAAGTTCAATAGGAAATTTTGAAGAGATCCTGAGATAATAATAATAATAATAAAAAGGAATGGAACCACATCAGAGTATGTGTGGCCACCTCTTTTATAAAGGAACCTTATGCAAAGCTCTTTCCATCCACCCAAAGTGGCAGCACATTTTATAGCTGTGTAAACTGAACCTATGTGAAATGAGTCCTCTTTGGTTGAAGATTGATTTTAATAGGCTAATTTAGGAGCTTTGCCAGTTCCTACTGCATCTATAGTATACCCATGTGTACCATCAACCATATTTGTGAGAACTCACTGCATAATACAGAAAAAAAAGTAGGCAAAGGGAAAACGCTGAATTCCACTGGCAGTTGAGAGAGTAGACAGTCAGATACCTGAATGAACTAAATAGAAATACAATTATTCTGAGAGGAAAAGGTAATGCAGCACGGTAAAATAATAAAGGAAAAGGTTCTTTAAACTATCCTGCAATCATTTTTCAACATTTTCTAACCTTGCAACATACATTTCTAATGGCTTGGCTCTACAGAAAAGAAAAAAAACTTACAGCAGAAGGTGACCACAGGACTATTACGGTAGCTTAGGAGTACGTGATATCTGTTCCAGTTAGAAGGCGAAAAAGTATGGCTATATTTATGCATTTTAGATATGAGCCCAGTCACCCCCCCTCCCCATTTGCATACTTTTAAAAAGTCTACACAGACAAAAAAAAAAGTTCACTGCCGTGTACAGCATCTGGTAAGATATGCATATCCACCAGCCCCGTAAAACTCTAAAATTAAAAAAAAAAAAAAATCAAGAATACTGCCACTAACATCAGAAGTGTGAGAGTTAAGCTAAGAAAAACAGATGTTACCACAGAATTGTGTTTGAAAATGGGGGAGGAAAGAGAAGAGAAATAAATATTGCTTTTGGAAAGCAAGCTTAAATATTTCTGCCCCCTCCAAACGCGGAAGGGGGGGGAGAAGGAAAGGGAATTCTTGTAACCTTTTCCAATATAATTTTAACACTTTCTATTTTGCATAATTCACCTAAAACTCATCTTTTCTAAATAGTAAAAATATCCAAAGCACTTTAAATAATAGACATACAGCTATATGACGTTTATCTCTCCTTACAAGTTTCATTATCAAAAAGGCTGGCCACACAAACAGTCAACATCTGTACAACTTTCAAGGCATAAAAAAAGCAGACAATGCAACAATTCAGAATATTTAAGATTGGGTTCACACAACTGTATTAAGTTTAAGTCTTAAAGTCAATCCCCATTAATTCTCTACACTAATAGAAGGTAGAACTATACGAACCTTAGCCACGTGCCACTTCTCCAAGTCTTCTAGTCCTGATCTGTAGCGGTCTTGCAACTACGTCCCATGTGAGCAGCAGATTCACTTTCCCTCATTTATGCCTTGACTAGCCTACCATTTCAGAGGTCAGTGAAAGAGTACCACCCCTTTTCCTTATTTCTGTGCCTCTCTCCCCGCCTATTCAAGGACAGCAATTATTTGTATCTAAGTTTGCTATCTCCAGGTGTTTATAATGTCCTTGGCAGTCAGTCTTTCATACCCATTCAGTGCGATTTAATTTCTACATACATATAGGGGGAGGCTACAGCAAGGATGAATAACCTGTGTTTTTCCAATTATTGCTGAACTCCCAGAAGCCCAGCCAGCATGGCTAATGATGAGGAATGAGGCTAGCTATATTTCAGCAACATCTGGACTACAAAGAAGATACAAAGGCATAAATTACACAACAATTACACACTTTAATGTGGGTTGTTCAGTTCTGGTCTCAACAGTTATGTGAACTCAACCATTGTAGTTTGTAATGTGTGATTTAAAACTTAATGTGCAGCCTAAACTCATCTGATTAAGTTTATTCAATAAACCATAAATGAACCATGGATTAGCATAACATGTAAACTTACTGAGATATACCTTTATGTGATGGCATCACAGCATTTATTCTCTGCTTTTTGAGCTAAAATGCTTAACATAAGAAACTGCTGGATCATATGTAAATCTTTATTCTATAGTGGCTTAGTGGATGACTCTAAAAAGCTCGTAAGAATGGAGTAGAGTATAATAACCTTCTTCTACTGTTGCTTCCCTGCAACCAGGTTTTAAGACAGCTGTGTGGATTCAGCAGGTAGTAAAGAAATATAAATGGTAATAACCACTGATAGCTTGATGTTCCATAAACCTCTCCAGTCCCTTTTTAAAACTTTCAAACTGGTTGCCACTGCAATTGCTGGCAATGTATTCCAGTTTAACAATGCACTGTAGGGTGGAAATTTTCTGTGGTTCTTATAACACCTCATATTCACTTCAAATGGATAACCTCAAGTTCTAATGCTGTGAGAGTAGAAGAATCCTTCACATTAACCATTCCTTGAATATTTTGTACCTGTTATATCATTCAACACCATCATTCCAGACACTCTTCCAACTAAGCTAAACCAGCTAGAGGTACCTGAACACACTTGTAAGCGGATCATAAGCTTCCTAACAGATAGGAAGCAGCAGGTGAAGCTAAGCAGAATCACATCAGATATCTGTACAATTAGCACATAAGGAGGTGTGCTCTCTCCACTTCTCTTCTCTCTATATACCAATGACTGCATCTCAAACGATCCATCTATTAAACTACTGAAGTTCGCAGATGACACAACAGTGATCGGTCTCATTCGAGACAATGATGAATCCGCATACAGATGG